TTCCACGCACCAAGCCAGGGGTGCGAGTCGTCAGCCTGGTAAGGCCCGTTCCTCCTCCACGCACAAAGCCAGGGGTGCGCGTCGTCAGCCTGGTAAGGCCCGTCCCTCCTCCACGCACCAAGCCAGGGGTGCGAGTCGTCAGCCTGGTAAGGATCGCTCCTGTTAAGTCCAGTCCTGCTCCAGCCGGCGGGGCCAGACTGGACCAGGGGCACTATGGGGGGTGTATTGGAGGGTGGTGGTCAAGGCCGGAGCCAGAACCGCCGCCGAGGAGGTATGCCCGCCCAGCCCTCCCCTGGTTTGTTTAGTTGAGGCGCGGTCGCAGTCCGCGCCTTTAGGGGGGGGTACTGTCACACCCTGGCTCTGGGACTCATTATGTTGAGCCAGGGTGTGTTCATTTCTATGTGTGTATTTCTATGTTGGTGTTCATTCTAGTTTGTTGTATTCTATGTTTGCCTGAGTGACTCCCAATCAGAGGCAACGAGTGTCAGCTGTTGGCTGGTTGTCTCTGATTGGGAGCCATATTTAAACTGTATGTTTTCCCTTTGTGGTTGTGGGTTTTTGTTCCGTGTTCTGTCATTGATACCGTGGACGTCACGAGTCGTGTTTTGTTTTGTATTTTGACGCTTTAACTAATTAAAGTCATGTTTGTTCATCACGCTGCGCCTTGGTCTACTCCTTACCTCGACCTTGACACATGGCTAGTATTGGGTGTTCCATTATTCGACTCCTCTATTAGAACTTTCTGAATAGCCATGGAGTAGTCTTTGTGTCGCAGAACATTTGGTTGTCAATATACAGATAATCCACTACGAGAGCAAAACGCTTCCCTTTTAATCTATTTTCCTTGAAGATTTAGTACAGAACAATCTCCCTCTGGAACTGATCATTCATGCCTATTTTTGTGCCAGCAGGTCTTTTACCTTTTAACCATTACTTTATCCTTAAAGAAAGCAAATTTGGCAACAATTGGACGCTCATATCTCTGTTCTCTTTCTCCGAAACGGTGTACACGTTCAAGTTGGATTTTACCGACAGCATCGACTGGGATTTGAAGCACTGTAAGAAAGAAGTCCTTCACAATTTTTTCGGTAACCTCTCCTTCTTTTTCTTGGATACCTGTAAGTACTACATTTTATCTCATCAATCTAGTCTGTATGTCTAGTAAGGCTTCTCTCAGACAGTTGTTCTCCTTTTTAAGTTCATTAACGTCCATTTCTATCTTAATGACTGTCCCTTTTAGCTTTTTTGTATCTTTCTCCATTATCGCAGCTTTTTCGTCACTCATTTCAAGACTCGCTTTCAACTGCTTTACGTCCTTACTGACCAACTCTAGTATGCCCAGTTTGTCATTTATTGACTTCAACAGATCGCTTTCCACACTTAGCAGTCCCAGTGGTGAAAAGCATCAGATATTTTGGTGGCAATTCAGGTATTCCATTTATTGTCAAATTTCTTTTCTTTTTTTTTTGGAGGGGGGGGGGGGGGGGGGTGGAATGCACTCATATATATTATCAGGTATTTTTCCCCCAAAATTTTTTATAAAACTATATATGACAAATTTGCATTAATATGCCAACTGTGTTTGCATATAATAATACATTAACATAAAGGGGTGGGACAAGGCTGCAACCACCAAACACTTGCTCTGTCTACCTTACCTGCACTCACCTGTCTTGTCTAGACTGCATCATTCATTACTGTTGTTGTCACATACTCTTGCATAATTTAACAAGTGTGTCAATAGCAGGATACCATCAGATTAAAAGTCAACACGCTTAGTTCTAGATTACACCTATCTAAACATGCTTTACATTGTTTGCGAGATTATAAATAATATCACTATAATCCAATTGTCCATTTTCGGAAGTTGCTTTCATTTCAGCGCATCTAATTTGTAAACATTTTAACTGTATTTATAACTTTTTTTCAATTCCACCAAAAATGAACATCCATCAAAATAAAGTTATCTTTCTTCTCTTTCTTGTGATGTAAATATTTAGACTGTGCATTAAATCCCTGACAAAGCTTTAGCGTTCTTATAGATTCAACGGTACAACAATGTATTCCATAGTGCCAATTTCTGCCATTACCGGGGTGTGTTTGACAGGTCATTACAAACATTTCCATAGTCCTAACACTAAAGGGAAAACATTTCAGCCAAAAGCAAGAGTATGAAAGAGTCGCAGGAGTAAAATAAAAGCAATCAATCCAGCGAGATTTAAGTGACAAGTGAATTTTGCACCCCTCAAACACAGGAAATAGATGGTTGAAAAAGACAGATCCTCAGGTGGATGGGGCATGCACGTTGCTAATCCCATATGTATGCCCTACAGTAGGCAGCCACTGTTTATACTGTAGCTTGCATAGCCCATATGTGATCTACCGGCTCAATTCGGTCTTATGTAGCAAAATTTGAAATTGTGGTAAAGTAATACTGCTTTGGAAGTTGATAAACTTGTAACCCCACTTTTGAGAAAATGGCCATTGAATGGTTTGGTACACCTATTGGAGAGCTCTTCTTTGTCTACACCCATTCAGCATCATTCACACCCTCTTAAGCCTTAGCCCCACCCATCTCTTTAAGGATTCACATGTGAGGCCATGTGAGTACGGTAGTGTACTAAACAACCAAAGATTTCAAGACTAAAGGGTGGTTTATACTACGTCTATCGACATGTCTGTAGACAGTTGTCGCAGTGACATCATGAACATTCTATTGTCATTCGACATCAAACTTGTCGTTGTCGTTATGAAAAAGTATAAACACAAAAACGACATCAGAAGCCTGGTAGTCCAAAATAGCATAACTGGTGTATTTTAACACCAATAAACCCATCCGTTTAAAAATGAATTTAGTAATGTCAATCTAACAAACCAGGCAACTAAAAGCAACTTTCTAAACAATGTTATGGTTAGTTTGTAGCTTGTTAGCTAGCTAGCTAACATTAAGTTAGCTGGCTAGCCAGTTCAAATAATGACCATATCATATAGCTGACAACGTCTTAACTTTAGCTAATTTGCATTCATTATTACAGGAAAAGAAACTCACAACAAGATCATTGTTTACAAGTTAATGGCGAGCTAATGACAGAAAATAGCTTACGGTTGTGAGTGTGACGAAATAAAAGCAGGGCGTTCTACTGGAGAATTTTTGAACTTGGACACTGTCTCGTTGGCCTAACGTTATATCCTAATTTGACTTTGGTGCTGGTCATGTTGTTTTTCACATTACCGTCTCTGGTAAACACACACTATATTAAATAAAGTCAATGTCTATTTGTCACATGCACAGGATACAGAAGGTGTAAACGGTACAGTGAAATGGTTACTTGCATAGTGGAGTCTTTTGTTTAGACATGTAGCTAGCTAGCTAGCTAAACAATGAACCATAATTCCAACTCATAACGTTACTAAATTGCATGAAGCTGCAGGTAGCTAAAGCTAACCAACTAGGTTAAATGTTAGCTAGCTAGCTAACTAGCAATGCAATGCAAATGGCTCTGAGATATTAATAATATTACTACACAGATCTAACAAGTAACTCTAGCGAGCCAGCCAGCTAACGTTAGCTAGCTAGCTAACAGTACACTTTAACTTGCAATGAAAACTACTTACTGACAAAATTAGAAACGTATAATATCTGAATATGTAGCTAGCTAGACTCTCTTACGCGTATACATGGATGAACTCTACTCCCTCTCTGTCACAGATGCCATGGTTACCCTTAGTTTGAAGATGTAATCCAGAGACGTGTTTTATACAACAGCCTTCAGTGTGTTCTCTTTTCGACTCCCTCCGCATATTTGCAATCAAACGCCAGAATGTTCTCCATCTCCTTAGCTATCATACTCTGCTTCCACCGGACATTCCACTGATTTCAAAACTCGGTCCTCCAGAAAGTGAAGAGCATTAGCAACACTTTTGCAGTTTTTCGTGATATCTTTAAAAACAGCTGTTTTAGAAAGAATGACCTACACATACTGAGCAGCTCATGTTATAGACAGAAGCTTGCTACATGGCAGACCAATCTGAACTCATCTCTTGGCATGTCCAGCCCATCCATTATCTCAACCAATCATAGCTATCGGGAAGATTCCTGTCTTTTTCCGTAGCTAAACCAACTGGGCTCGTAATTTAACAATTTTATTTGTACTTACAGATGGCATACAAGTTTGTTTTTAATGCACATGAAAGTTCACGTTCCAGAAGGCATTTCTGTCAAAAAAACACATTTGGATAAAAAAGAAACGTTTACGTTCAAATGCCTGTGCTGTGAAGTAGTGACGCGCGACATACGCCAAGTTTCCTGAAACTAGTCACATATGTGTCATGGCTAATGATAAGCAGTGCTCATTGTCTACAGTAATGGTGGATCTATTGGTGAAATCTGTGTGTGTGCTGAAGCCAAGTGTTTCTCACAGGAACACTGTTTTCGATGTCTGATTCCTCTTCCAAGACAGAGCTCTCTTCCCTCCCCTTTCTCTTTCTCTCTTTCTCTTTCCTTCTTTTTGTAACATCCAAGGCTATGTTTTTAGAATGTGTTGATTAGGCTATAAAACAGACTCTTTAACATTGCTAAAAGGTTTCAGGTGCGGTCTGTTTGGCTGTTGGGTATTTTTTTCAGGCACTGTGGTAGTATTTCATCATAGCTACAATGTAGTCATATCAGTGTTTGATACTGTCTCAGGGTAGCGTTCAGTGTGTATACCCAGTGTCTCTCCCAGCAGCAGTTTGGTAGTGGCTGAGAGACAGAAACACACAGAAATGTGTCATCTCCCCTGAAATCAACAGCGCCTCATGACTACTATTGATCTCAGTCTCTAGCCTCCCTCCCCTCTGCCATTCATTCACCTCACGGAAATGTTTCATTGACTGGGACCTGACACAGAGCTATCTCTCAGTCTCCTCCTATTGTTTCACACATATAGATACAACGCATACCCTTACCTACCCTACACATATCACATTTGATGAAGCCTATGTTTCACATGTTATATAAAATGAACCTCAAAGAACATGTAAGTGCAGCATAGAGACATCTAGTGGAGACAGGCAGAAGTACAGTAGACACTGTCCTCCAATGCATTACATTTTAGTCATTTAGCAGACGCTCTTATCCAGAGCAACTTACAGTTAGTGAGTGCATACATGTTTTTTTTGTTGTTGTTTTTTTCATACTGGTCCCCCGTGGGAAACGAACCCACAACCCTGGCGTTGCATACACCATGCTCTACCAACTGAGCTACACAGGACTATTACAGTAGTATAGAGGCACTGTAGGGAGAGTGGGTGTGTGAGGGCACAATGAAACATAAACACACTCCCAGTGAGAGTGAGTAAAGACCTGACCCATATATTATATATATATATTTGTTATATATTACACATGCACGCACGCACATTCATAGACCTATCGAGCGGCTTAATTCACAGAAAAGCCTGTGTTTGGAGGGGAGGCCGGGCTAAACTTGTCTCGGGCATCGGTTCACTGATGAACTGTCAGAGGGAAACATATGTCTGGCCCGATACAGTCACACAGGCAGAGGTATGCTTTTGTAACATCAGCAGGGACCCAAAGTAAATTATTTACACTATTGACTGTGTGTTAGTGTTTCTATGTGGTTGGGTCAGTGTGTGATAGAATTGGGGTCTTCATTTACTGTGACAGTGTGTGTGGCTGTATGTTCTGTGTGTATGTGGGCATGTGTCTTGGTGTGTGACATTACATGTATCCGTGTGTGAGTTTGTTTGCACGTGCTTGCGTGTATGTGTGTGTGCATATGTATGTATGACTGAGGAGGGTGTCTGGGTATGCTGATATACATTCTCATTAACCCCAATGGACACTAATCTCCTTTGTGGCACTCTTTCATCCTTACCTAGGATTTATAGCCCACTGAATTATGGGTAGTGCATTGATGTTGCCGTCTCCATACATCAAGGGAAACCCCATCTAAACCCCATCCATTTCACCTGTGAGGAGACACTGACAGCAGTGACTCATTACTCATAGTCCTTGCCTGTCCCCTTCACACTAGTCAATGCAGACAAGATCATAACCCATTACATTATAGCACAGTCCATCATATAGATGGTGCAGGGGCCTGCTGGGTAGGCTGGAGCAGGGTTTCTCAATCCAGGGCGTGCACATTTCTGATTCAACTATTTCAAGTCTTGGCGAGTAGTTGATCAGGTGTGTTAGTGCTGGGCTAGAACAAAAACATGCATCCCTGTTCCTCACAGCCCCACCCAGAGGCTCTGATGTCCGAGTGATCACTCGTTGATTGGATGTTAATTATGATGTAGCCACATGATGGAGCTGATAATTTGTGTGATAACGAGCTAGTCACTGATCCCCCACCCCCTTGGGGGTCTGAGACACCCCTCTAGGGGGAAACCAGTCATTTACCAGTCAGCCATTTGTCTTTGACCTTCGTCTCAACCCCTATGAATCCAGGCATCCAGTGGTTGTACTTTTCTTTCCCTACTCTCCCCTTTAGGAATCCAGTCAGTATTTGGTTATAAGTTTCTATCATCTCTCTTGGAAATCATATTTCACTAATCTTGGATTTTTGGGGGGATCATTATTCTTGGAAAAAAACCATATGTTGACATCACATGATCATGCAAAACCTTTACCATCGCAAATGCCAAACAATAAAGGCAACACAGGTACATTTGGTTCTTCCATTTCTGCTTGTATCTGGATGTTGTTGCTATGCATGTTAGCTGAGTTAGAGTTCCTTACATTTATTGCAAGTCTGCTGCAGTGGGAAGGACACTCTCCCCCTCTGCCTTGGAGGTGTGAAGTGTCTGTTTACAGGTCACACCTCTGAGCTCTCATGGGACCCTTGACCCACCATTCATCCCCCTTGACCTTGCCCACCTTAGCCTTGAGCCAATAAGAACTTTAGGCTGGGACTGATATCAGTCGGCCCATCCCGGGGTCAGAAGTCAGTTTTCCAGTGAAAGGTGTAGGCTACTCTACCACAACTGGACATTTCTATCGTCTCTTTTCTGCTAAAGGATTCTAAACTCTGAACCTCCCTGGTGTGATGTAAATGCGTCGATGATGATAAACCATTCATTCAACTACACCATAAAGCCGTGTGTGTCTGAGGCAATAAAGTGTTAAACTTGAGTCTGTGTCCTGTTCATCATTGTGCCTCAAACCAGGTACACAGAGCAATTACATTTTAGTCATTCAGCAGACACTCTTATCCAGAGCAATTAGGGTTAACTGCCTTGCTCAAGGGCACATCAACAGATTTTCACCTAGTCGGCTCGGGGATTAGAACCAGCTACCTTTCGGTTACTGGCACAACGATCTTAACCACTAAGCTACCTGCCGCCCCAATCATTCCTTATCTAATCCGGCACCTTCATTTTTGGTGTCCATTACCAGTTGGTGGCGCTGTTTTTCAATGAGCAATATCTTTCATAGCACACTACTCTGCTGTGATAAAGCGTTTTGTTCCACTATAGAGCATGACCTCTAGTTGACACGTACCTGAAGACAGAGAATGGGGATTCCCACAGTGGAATGTAATAACATGCGGTAACTATGGTTACACAGTGTGTTAGTCTCTCCAGGAACCAGCAGCGATACAATAGCATCTCAAAGATTTCAGCCCTATTCATTGTTATTTCATACACACACACACACACACACACACACACACACACACACACACACGCAATGCAGTCAAACCACGCACACACTGAACAACCAAAACACATCCACTGAATAATGTAATGAAATATGTATCCTCACGACAAAATAAACTTGATCTGTGTTGAAGCCATTCCCTCTCTTCACCCCCCCCCCCCTCTCTCCCTCTCTCTCTCTCTTTCTCTCTCTCTTTAGTCTCTGGGGGTTTCTTCTGGTCACAGTACATTCTGCTTCCCCCCCTCTCTCTCTTGGTCTCAATCTCTCTGTCTCTGAGGGTTTCTTCTGGTCATGTGACGTGTTGCTGTTAGGAATGAGAGTGTGTGAAAAGGCTTTGTGTTTGCTGCAATCTATCCGACTGTGACTCCATCCAGCCGACTGGCGGCCTCCTATCAGAGGGTGATCTAATACCAGGATTACTCCTGGATTATCTGTGGCTCCCATGGGAAAACAGAAGTTCTTAGAGTCCTGCACTGCCTCTCGAATGTTGTCCATTTGTAATGGTGTCAGAAGTTGTCATCTGGACCTTGATGAGTGCTTCTGCACTGTGTGAGGCAAAATGGTGCATGAGCATTTTCAATGTTGGTTACACGGTTGCTTACATAGATTGTTAGGCTTTTGTGACGCTCTTGGTCGAGCAGAAGAAGGATCGAGAGAGGAGAGAGAGAAGAGAGAGAAGGGGAGAGAGAGGAGACGGGAGGAGGAAGAGAGAGAGAGGGGGAGAGAGAGGGAGAAGAGAGGCGAAAGAGAGGAGAGAGGAGCGAAGAGAGCAGCGAGGAGCGAGCGAGAGAGATCCGTATCCTATCTTAAGATCGAGATACTCGATCTGCTTCAGGAGAGTAGCTCTTCTATATCTCTATCGCTCTCTCTCGATCTCTCTCTCTAGATCGTATCTCTCTCTCTCTCCTCTTCTCTCTCTCTCTTCTCTCTCTCTCTCTATGTTAATAATATATATATTATATATACACACACAACAACAAAAAGCCTCTCTAATCCTGTACTGCAAGGGTTCATTGTCTGACTCGGTGTAGATTAGTGTGTGTGTGTGTATGTCAGTCAGTAGTAGTAGTAGTAGCTTGCAAACGTATTCACCCACCTTGGCATTTTTCCTATTTTGTTGCCTTACAACCTGGAATTAAAATGGATTTTTGGGGGGTTTGTATAATTTCATTTACACAACATGCCTACCACTTTGAAGATGCAAAATATTTTTTGGGGTGAAAGCGTGCATAGCTATTCACCCCCCCAAAGTCAATACTTTGTAGAGCCACCTTTTGCAGCAATTACAGCTGCAAGTCTCTTGGGGTATGTCTCTATAAGCTTGGCACATCTAGCCACTGAGATTTTTGCCCATTCTTCAAGGCAAAACTGCTCCAGCTCCTTCAAGTTGGATGGGTTCCGCTGGTGTACAGCAATCTTTAAGTCATACCACAGATTCTCAGATTAGATTGAAGTCTGGGCTTTGACTAGGCCATTCCAAGACATTTAAATGTTTCCCGTTAAACCACTCGAGTGTTGCTGTAGCAGTTAGAGTCATTGTCCTGCTGGAAGGTGAACCTCCGTCCCAGTCTCAAATCTCTGGAAGACTGAAACAGGTTTCCCTCAAGAATTTCCCTGTATTCAGCGCCATCCATCATTCCTTGAATTCTGACCAGTTTCCCAGTCCCTGCCGATAAAAAACATCCCCACAGCACGATAATGCCACAACAATGCTTCACTGTGGGGATGGTGTTCTCGGGGTGATGAGAGGTGTTGGGTTTGCGCCAGACATAGCGTTTTCCTTGATGGCCAAAAAGCTCATCTGACCAGAGTACCTTCTTCCTTATGTTTGGGGAGTCTCCCACATGCCTTTTTGCGAACACCAAACGTGATTACTTATTGTTTTCTTTAAGCAATGGCTTTTTTCTGGCCACTCTTCTGTAAAGCCCAGCTCTGTGGAGTGTACGGCTTAAAGTGGTCCTTTGCAGCTCCTTCAGGGTTATCTTTGGTCTCTTTCTTGCCTCTCTGATTAATGCCCTCCTTGCCTTGTCCGTGAGTTTTGGTGGGTGGCCCTCTCTTGGCAGGTTTGTTGTGGTGCCATATTATTTCCATTTTTTAAAAATGGATTTAATGGTGCCCCGTGGGATGTTCAAAGTTCGCTGCTTCAGTGTTATGAGATATTTTTGTCAGATGTTACTATGGTATACTGAAGTATAATTACAAGCATTCCATAAGTGTCAAAGGCTTTTATTGACAATTACATTCAGTTTATTCAAAGAGTCAATATTTGCAGTGTTGACCCTTCTTTTTCAAGACCTCTGCAATCCGCTCTGGCATGCTGTTAATTAACTTCTGGGCCACATCCTGACTGATAGCAGCCCATTCTTGCATAATCAATGCTTGGAGTTTGTCAGAATTTGTGGGTTTTTGTTTGTCCACCCGCCTCTTGAGGATCGACCACAAGTTCTCAATGGGATTAAGGTCTGGGGAGTTTCCTGGCCATGGGCCCAAAATGTTGATGTTTTGTTCCCAGAGCCACTTAGTTATAACTTTTGCCTTATGGCAAGGTGCTCCATCATGCTGGAAAAGGCATTGGTCGTCACCAAACTGTTCTTGGATGGTTGGGAGAAGTTGCTCTCATTCTTTATTCATGGCTGTGTTCTTAGGCAAAATTGTGAGTGAGCCCACTCCCTTGGCTGAGAAGCAACCCCACACATGAATGGTCTCAGGATGCTTTACTGTTGGCATGACACAGGACTGATGGTAGCGCTCACCTTGTCTTCTCCGGACAAGGTGTTTTCCGGATGCCCCAAACAATCGGAAAGGGGATTCATCAGAGAAAATGACTTTACCCCAGTCCTCAGCAGTCCAATCCCTGTACCTTTTGCAGAATATCAGTCTGTCCCTGATGTTTTTCCTGGAGAGAAGTGGCTTCTTGCTGCCCTTCTTGACACCAGGCCATCCTCCAAAAGTCTTTGCCTCACTGTGCGTGCAGATGCACTCACACCTACCTGCTGCCATTCCTGAGCCAGCTTTGCACTGGTGGTGCTCCGATCCCACAGCTGAATCAACTTTAGGAGACGGTCCTGGCGCTTGCTGGACTTTCTTGGGCGCCCTGATGCCTTCTTCACAACAATTGAACCTCTCTCCTTGAAGTTCTTGATGATCCGATAAATGGTTGATTTAGGTGCAATCTTACTAGCAGCAATATCCTTGCCTGTGAAGCCCTTTTTGTGCAAAGCAATGATGACGGCACGTGTTTCCTTGCAGGTAACCATGGTTAACAGAGGAAGAACAATGATTTCAAGCACCACCCTCCTTTTAAAGCTTCCAGTCTGTTATTCTAACTCAATCAGCATGACAGAGTGTTCTCCAGCCTTGTCATCGTCAACACTCTCACCTGTGTTAACGAGAGAATCACTGACATGATGGCAGCTGGTCCTTTTGTGGCAGGGCTGAAATGCAGTGGAAATATTTTTTGGGGATTAAGTTCATTTTCATGGCAAAGAGGGACTTTGCAATTAATTGCAATTCATCTGATCACTCTTCATGCCATTCTGGAGTATATGCTAATTGCCATCATCAAAACTGAAGCAGCAGACTTTGTGAAAATTAGTATTTGTGTCATTCTCAAAACATTTGACCACGACTGTATACTGAGATCATGTGACACTTAGATTGCACACAGGTGGACTTTATTTAACTAATTTTGTGACTTCTGAAGGTAATTGGTTGCACCAGATCTTATTTAGGGGCTTCATAGCAAAGGGGGTGAATAGATTTGCACACACCACTTTTCCGTTATTTATTCTTTAGAATGTTTTGAAACAAGTTATGTTTTTCATTTCACTTCACCAATTTGGACTATTTTGTGTATGTCCATTACATGAAATCCAAATAAAAATCCATTTAAATTACAGGTTGTAATGCATCAAAATAGGAAAAACACCAAGGGAGATGAATACTTTTGCAAGGCACTGTATGTGTCACATGCTGTGTCTGACTGGGGTTTGGAATGAGAACACTTTGTTTGGTGTTGGAGTGGTTGTTTATGCTGAAAGAAGATGGAAAACAGAAGGGAGAGATGGAAAGTAAGAGAGCTCAGACTCAGTGAGCATAGCTTTGCTATTGAAAGAGGCCACCGTAGTCAGACCTGGCTCTCAAGAGAAGACAGGCTATGTGCACACTGCCCACAAAATGAGGTGGAAACTGAGCTGCATTTCCTAACCTCCTGCCAAATGTATGACCATATTAGAGACACATATTTCCCTCAGATTACACAGAAACACAAATCCAATTTTGATAAACTCCCATATCTATTGGGTGAAATACCACAGTGTGCCATCACAGCAGCAGGATTTGTGATCTGTTGCCACAAGAAAAGGGCAACCAGTGAAGAACAAACACCATTGTAAATAGATCCTATATTTATGTTTATTTATTTTCCCTTTTTGTATTTTAACTATTTGCACATCGTTACAACACTGTAAATAGCCTTAATATGACATTTGAAATGTCTCTATTCCTTTGGAACTTTTGTGAGTGTAATGTTTACTGTTCATTTTGTATTGTTTATTTCACTTTAGTTTATTATCTATTTCACTTGCTATCTATTTACCATGTCTATAAAGCCCTTTGAATTGAATTGAATTGAGAGAGCGAGAGAGAGAGAGAGAGAGAGAGAGAGAGAGAGAAAGAGAGAGAGAGAGAGAGAGAGAGAGAGAGAGAGAGAGAGAGAGGAGAACACAAACACATTTAAGCCGTTCTATGTAGTCATGAACTGTTATGAATGCTTTTAGCATTCTAATCATGTACTATAGATGATACAGTACTAAGCACTATACACAGGTGACTTATGAAAAGTGTCACCCACAGATATTCAACTGAGAACGATCAGTGCCGCTATAGCTGACTAGTAAAGCTGGCTGTTGTGTGATAAACTAGGACGGCAGCAATGGCGGTGGCAGAAGGCATATGCGACTGTGCGTTCATGGAGAGTGTGTTCTGTTGGAGAGCTGCCTCGTCAGGGAGTGTGTATGTGTGTGTTTGTGTATGTATGTGTGTGTGTATGTGTTCTGGCACTATGGAGCAGCAGTAGCAGGCAGGGCGGGAGATCAGTGCTTGGTGCTGGCAGGAATCGTCTGCTTAGGTCTGGCAGCAGGGATCGGTGGGCTGGTGAATATCTTCAGCAAAGCACTGCTCCATTGGGGGAGTTGTTGGCTTTTTCCTGTGTGTGTATACTGCCTTTCCTCTTCCCTGATGGTACTGGGCGGATGGTATGATAAATATAGCTGCGTTGGTGTGTGGCTGTTTTCTCCTCGGCTTTAATCAAAACCAATCTGGAGGAGTAGAGAGGGGGAGAGAGTGAGAGAGAGGGGAAGGGAGTGGGAAAATATGGAACATGCCAAGGTGTTTTATTTTAGTTATCTTTAAGGAGCCATCAGGGACGCTTATGGAATAATGATAAACCTGGTGGCCAGAGTAAAGGGTCTCCCTCTCTCCCCTCGCTCTCCTTTCTCTTGTTGTCCCTTTTCCCTATTTTCCTTCCGGCCTTTTCTCTCTACATCCCCTCTTCTCTACACTCAGCTCAGAAATAGGCAACAATGTGTGTGTGTTCCTTTGCACCTTCAGGTTTATGTTTTTACATTTGACATTTTAGTCATTTAGCAGACGGTCTTATCCTGAGGGACTTACAGTTAGTGCATTCATCTTAAGATAGGTAGATGGGACAACCACATATCTTAGTTATAGTAAGTACATTCTTCCTCAATAATGTAGTTATCAGCAAAGTCAGAGCTGTGGTTTTGCTGTAAGAATATAAGCCAAACTGGTTATTAGAATAGATGTCATATCTTTATGCCATATTATTATTTTAATCATAAAAGCCCTCTTGTCCACACTGTTATATTGGCAGCAGTATACTCCTTAGGGTGCATGATTCCCCCTTGTCTGTTCTAAGCCATTGTTTTATTGTGATGCTGAACTTCACAGTTAGTCTGTCACTGTTCAAATTGGCTCAGTGCTTATCTTAATTGCTTGTGATAATAATAGCTACTCACAATACACAATAATACTGTTCTCACGTCATATGCAATACAATATGTACCAAATAAGTTGGTAACCAACTAAAGATGAAACAATTTGTGCTTTAAGTATGTAGATTATGTAGATTATCTTGACTTTAACAAACAAATGCAGTGTGAATATATTTCCTCCAGGGGATGGGTGTGTGTGTAATAACTGTGTTATAAATCCTCTTCCTCCAGGTGATGTGGGTGTAATAACTGTGTTATAACCTCTTTATCCAGGTGGCGTGTGTGTAAGAACTTTTATAATCTCTTCCTCCAGGTGGTATGTGTGTGTGTGTGTGTAATAACTGTGTTATAGTCCCCTGTAGCTCAGTTGGTAGAGCATGGCGCTTGCAATGCCAGGATTGTGGGTTCGTTTCCCACGGGGGGGCAGTATGAAAATGTATGCATTCACTAACTAACTGTAAGTCGCTCTGGATAAGAGCGTCTGCTAAATGACTAAAATGTTATAACCTCTTCCTTCAGGTGGTGTGTGTGAAATAACAGTTATAATCTCTTCCTCCAGTTGATGTGGGTGTGTAATAACTCTTATAACCTCTTCCTTCAGGTGATGTGGGTGTGTAATAACCGTATATAATAACCATATAATAACTCTATATATCTCTGTTCCTCCAGGTGATCAGGGTGTTTAATAACTGTTGTAACATCTTCCTTCAGTTGATAGCTGTATAATAACCATATAATAACTCTATGTATCTGTGTTCCTCCAGGTGATGTGGGTGTGTAATAATTGCCGTAAGCAGCAGGAGATCCTCACTAAGCCAGGGGAGTGGTTCTCAGGTCCAGGGAAGCCAGGTCTAGGCTCAGGCATCAGTGACCCGGCCATGTGTGGCCTGAACCCCGGTGACGAGAAGCTACGTTCCCGCTCCCAGGTCCCCCTGGGGCCCCACGACCCCAACTGCCCCAGTGTCCCAGGACTGGCACCAGGAATGGACCTCCGCTCACGCAGCGAGCCGCCGTAAGCCCCGGCCACAAACACACAAATGGTTAACCTGTAAACCTACTTAAACATTACTCTAAACTGACATACACCGCATTATTTCCAGGAGAAAGCCGGGTGATCAGAACAGTAAAGGTCGAGGTGAGCATCGGCCGGGTCATCCCAGACTCCACACCCAGGTGTCTGTGGACCGTGACCAACGGGAGCGAGAGCGGAGGGAGGGCCGGCGGCTGAGTAAGGGCCGCTCTCTGGAACATGACCCTGTGGGTGCGGGGGTCCCCCGATGGACAGAAGAGGGCTACCACATAGACACCAACGCCCCCCGACATTTAGCACAGCCCCAGCCAGGGGAGCCACTGGGGGGCAGGCACCCTCTACAGCCCCAGGGGCGAGGCAGGGGGGTTGAGATTGGGTTTGAGGGTGTTGGGGGCCAGCCCGAGGCTATGCTGGGCCAGAGGACAGTGGTGGGGGGTATTGGGGGCCAACAGGACCTTGGCCCTCCACATCTCCAGCCCCCAGACCTCAGGGAAACCCCTGGGTCAGCCCCTGGCCCCGGACCAAGCCCCCTCCTGCGCCGGTCCAAACGGGAAAAGGCTGAGAGCATGCTGCGAAATGATTCGCTCAGCTCGGACCAGTCAGAGTCTCTGCGGCCACCCCCGCCACGGCCCTACAAGTCAAAACGTGGCGGTGCCGGGAAGAGACAGACATCAGTCAGCAGCTCAGAGGAAGAGGGAGGGACCACGCCAGAGTACAGCAGTTGTGAGGATGCCGAGATCGAGAGTGTTAGTGAGAGAGGTGAGAGAGGCTCCAGGGTAGAAGTTTCCCATAGACACAGATCTAGTTTCAGCGTACCCTCCCCAAATCTTAACCATAAAAAATCAAGGAGAGACACAACACTGACTTCAGATCAGCTTCTAGGGCCAGCTTTATCCTACACTGTGAAAGAGCTTACCGATACTGTATGCATCCCACACTGCAGTGAAAGAGGTAAGAGAGTGTGGTAACATTGTGTGCTCCCTTGTTTTGAAGGCATGCTGAGCACAATTTTAAATCAACGCTCACTCATTGTGTGAGAAAGTGTGTGTGTGCTCACCGCCTTTTTAACACACTCATACATGGGAAGTGATTGTAAATAGTACCGACTAGCGAGAGCTGCTCAGTCTCTGTCTGCTTTCTTCATTGTAACAATCCAAACTTGAGGTTGCGTTCAACTTTATTACAGGTAAATAATCATAGGATGTTCTTATGAGATTATTAGATGAGGAATAGTGGTATTTGTACGTCTTTGTACTGTATATAATGTAATATATTGTTATTCTATTTGATCTCAGCTTGTTTTGTCGTGAGAAAACATATTTAGTTAAATTATTCAGTGGATGTGTTTTGGTTGTTGAGTGTGTCTGTGTGTGACTGCATTGTGTGTTTGTATGTGTGTGCACTTGTGTGCGTGCGCTTGTTTGTGTATGATATTCTGGCCATGGCTTGGCCTGAGGGGATAGAGTCCCAGGCGGGCAGGATAGGTTGACCCTGCTCTGACCCAATGTGACCCTGCGTGACAGAGCTAGGACACAGGCTGCAGCCCTGGAGCCATGGGAACAAACACTAGGCTGGATGCTTCTGTAACATCGTCATGTCTCAGCTATGTTACTGCAAATGCTAACCATGTCCTAGCTCTTTACTTCAGGTCTTACCTTGTCATAGCCATGTACTTTAGTTTGAAGTGAACCATGCCCATGTACCTAACCATGTCCTAGCTATTTATGTTAGCTCTAATCATGTTGTACAGTTCTAACTATAGTCAGAGTCTGTTATGTTTAGGCTATATACATCTCACCTAGATACATCACATTTGCTAGCAGAAGAAAGTAGGTACTACTGTAAACCCAGTACTGTTAAGAATAGGCTTCAGTCCACTTTGATTTAATGCCATTTGTTCCACATGCCAACCTGGATTGAAACCAGACAAAGCTCTCTAATGACTAATCGATCATATGAGAGAGGAAGAGGAGATTTGTCAAAACTAGTTTGAATCATACCAGTGCAGTAGCGAGCCATTTTTCCTTTTTTAGCTCGGTCCAAGATGGGTTGAGCACAGGAGGAGTGTTCAGGCATTTAAATATTTCTCTGAGTGCGTGTGCAGTTGTACGATGTACAGTTGAAGTCGGAAGATTACATACACTTAGGTTGGAGTCATTAAAACTCGTTTTTCAAACACTCCACACATTTCTTGTTAACAAACTATTGTTTGGGCAAGTCGGTTAGGACATCTACTTTGTGCATGACACAAGTAATTTTTCCAACAATTGTTTACAGACAGATTATTTCACTTATAATTCACTGTATCACAATTCCAGTGGGTCAGAAGTTTACATACACTAAGTTGACTGTCCCTTTAAACAGCTGGTAAAATTCCAGAAAATGATGTCATGGCTTTAGAAACTTCTGATAGGCTAATTGACATCATTTGAGTCAATTGGAGGTGTACCTGTGGATGTATTTCAAGGCCTACCTTCAAACTCAGTGCCTCTTTGCTTGACATCATGGGAAAATCAAAAGAAATCAGCCAAGACCTCAGAAAAAAATGGTAGACCTCCACAAGTCTGGTTCATCCTTGGGAGCAATTTCCAAATGCCTGAAGGTACCACGTTCATCTGTACAAACAATAGTATGCAAGTATAAACACCATGGGATCACGCAGCCATCATACCGCTCAGGAAGGAGACGCGTTCTGTCTCCTAGAGATGAACGTACTTTGGTGCGAAAAGTGCAAATCAATCCCAGAACAACAGCAAATGACCCTGTGAAGATTCTGGAGGAAACAGGTACAAAAGTATCTATATCCACAGTAAAACAAGTCCTATATCGACATAACCTGAAAGGCCGCTCAGCAAGGAGGAAGCCACTGCTCCAAAACCGCCATTAAAAAATCCAGACTACAGTTTGCAACTGCACATGGGGACAAAGATCGTACTTTTTGGAGAAATGTCCTCTGGTCTGATGAAACAAAAATAGAACTGTTTGGCCACAATGACCATCGTTATGTTTGTAGGAAATAGGGGGTTGCTTGCAAGCCGAAGAACACCATCCCAACCGTGAAGCACGGGGGTGGCAGCATCATGCTGTGGGAGTGCTTTGCTGCAGGAGGGACTGGTGCACTTCACAAAATAGATGGCATCATGAGGAAGTGGACATCAGTCAGGAAGGAAGTTAAAGCATGGTCGCAAATGGGTCTTCCAAATGGACAATGACCCCAAGCATACTTACAGAGTTGTGGCAAAATGGCTTAAGGACAACAAAGTCAAGGTATTGGAGTGGCCATCACAAAGCCCTGACCTCAATCCTATAGAAAATTTGTTGGCAGAACTGAAAAAGCGTGTGCGAGCAAGGAAGCCTACAAACCTGACTCAGTTACACCAACTCTGTCAGGAGGAATGGGCCAAAATCCACCCAACTTATTGTGGGAAGCTTGTGGAAGGCTACCCGAAACGTTTGACCCAAGTTAAACAATTTAAAGGCAATGCTGCCAAATACTAATTGAGTGTATGTAAACTTCTGACCCACTGGGAATGTGATGAAAGAAATAAAAGCTGAAATAAATCATTCTCTCTACTATTATTCTGACATTTCACATTCTTAAAATAAAGTGGTGATCCTAACTGACCTTAGACAGGGAATATTTACTAGGATTAAATGTCAGTAATTTTGAAAAACTGAGTTTAAATGTATTTAGCTATGGTGTATGTAAACTTCCGACTTCAACTGTGCGTAAGGACAATAGCAGTAAGGTTGTTAATTGCTTTCCTTTAACTAGACTTCCTAGTGAAAGTTTGCTCAATAACCATGAAGAGCTCAACAAACATGCATCACATGGAGACTTTCTTTCCTTCCCAATCTCTAAGAGGAATATGGTGTCAAGCCCTGGGTGATTCTGGTGAAGTGTCACGTCTCAAAACTAAATATTCAATCAACTCTGCCCTGCTGTAAACAGAGCAGTTCTAACGAATGTCCAGATCTGGCTCAGTTGTGTATAGTGGCAGCTGAGCTGGTATGTGCTGTGTATACACCTTCTCTATCCATGCTGCCACTACTGGCTCTGTCTTTCTGTGTGTATGTGTGTATGTCTCCTTCCATCTACTTCTACTGGTTGAGTTGATCTCTTTTCTCGTGTAGGGGACTGGGAGTGCTACCCACTGGACCCCACTGTGTGGCATGTAAGTGACTGATTCTCTTTTTGTATCTATTTGAGTGAGTGAGTGAGTGAGTGAGTGAGTGAGTGAGTGAGTGAGTGAGTGAGTGAGTGAGTGACTGAGTGAGTGATTGAGTGAGTGAGTATTTGTGTCTGTCTATGTTTGTAAGTGTGTGTGAATTTCTATATAGTGTGTGCTTGTCGAGAGAGAGAGAGAGAGAGAGAGAGAGAGAGCGAGATGAGGAAGGAGAGAGAGAGAGAAGAGAATAGAGGGAGAGAGAGAGAGAGAGAGAGAAGAGATAGAGCTAGAGAGAGCGATAGAGAGAGACTCGCTCTATCATCTCGCTTCTATTCTATACTAAGACGCTAATAGAGAGGAGATCTCATCAGAGACTACAGACATACAGACTACACAGACAACAGACACAGACTACACACAGACAGGCACGCACCGCCAGACAGAGAGACAGCAGACAGAGAGACTAGACAGAGAGACAGACAGACAGAGAGACAGAAAGAGAAAGAGTAGGTTAGGTATAATGTGATTGCTCCCAGGCTGTTAGATTGAATCAGTGTATTGTTCACAGCATCCGGTGACATGGCAGCCATCCAAAGAGGGTGACCATCTAATCGGCCGAATCACCCTGAGTAAGAGGAGCGTTATGCCCAAAGAGGCCGGGGCACTGCTGGGGCTGAAGGTTAGAGCTCACACCAGACACAATCACACTTTGGCTAGACTGTTTTGTGTGTGTGTGAGTATCTGTGTGTATGCATGCATGTGTGTACGTGTGTGTGTGTGTCTTAAGTTTGGCCATTGTTTTACTTGACTCTGTGTGTGTGTGTTTGTGTGTATGTACACATGAATGTCCTCAGGTGGTTGGGGGAAGGGTCACAGAGGCGGGCAGACTGGGAGCCTTCATCACTGTAGTCAAGAAGGGCAGTCTGGCCGACATCGTGGGACACCTACGAGCAGGTATGCAAAGTGTGTGTGTGTGTGTGTGTGTGTGTGTGTGTGTGTGTGTGTGTGTGTGTGTGTGTGTGTGTGTGTGTGTGTGTGTGTGTGTATGTATGTGTGTGTACATACAGTATGTGTGTGTAAATATGTTTGTATGTGTGTGTCGGTTTTGAAGAATGACATTGTGTATTTTCAGGGGATGAGGTTCTGCAGTGGAACAGCAAGATGTTGCCAGGAGCAACCCAGAAAGAAGTTTACAATATCATTCTCAATTCCCAAGCAGAACCCCAAGTGGAACTAGTGGTGTCCCGGCCCATTGTGTAAGTCAGGAATAAGAGACTCTTACCTTTGATTAAAAGACAGCGAACCCTGATAGATACACTATGATTAGGGTAGTGACTTTGTGAAACTTGGATTCAAGTGTCTTCTGTGTCTATCTATCTGGTGAGATAATGGTTAGGTTAGCCCATAGCCCAATTTCATTTCCCACCTTTCTCTCCAAATTGTACATGCATGCACTTTCCCTCATAGATTTACAAGGAATGGTCTGGTGTAAGGAATAGGGTGCCCACTGGGCGCAGACGTCAGTTCAATGTCTAGTTTTGATTTACATTTGGTTGAGTTGTCAACTAACGTGAATTCAACATTTAAAAAAATCATTGGATTTAGGTTCAAAGTTGGGTGAAAAAAATACTAAATTCCCTTACGACTTTTTGCAAATCCAATCAGTTTTCCACGTTGATTCAAAAACTGGTTGATTCAACGTCACATTTATTTGGGTTGAAGTGATGTGGAAACAACGTTGATTCAACCAGTTTTTGCCCAGTGGGTGGAAACTCCATTAGAACATTCAAACATCAATGCGATGCTTTTAATTTCTTGAGGGCGAGTGAACGAGTTTACTCTGAGGAGACGGGGGTGAAACAGAATTAGCCTCGTTTGAATTGGGTGTCACTGTTCACTCACTCCAACCACATACTGTACATACATTTGGTTTTCATTTTGAACAGTTGTCTTTTTCTGACCTGACTTGTCTTGCTCCTTCGTAAAAACATATTTATTTCCAAACACTTGCGAAGGGTGTATAAAGCCTATCAGTAAGTACAGCTACAGTATTAGGACCCCCTCTCCTTCCACCCGAAATTACACAAGCACTCCCGTCCTCCCCCACCCTGTGACCAAAGAGCTGACGAATGCCTAAATGAGTAGACCGCAATAAGGGATTATTGGTTGTAAAAAAAATTATATGTTGATCGTACTCTTTCTATATTGATCGTACTCTTTCTATATTGATCGTACTCTTTCTATATTGATCCTACTCTTCCCTCCTGTTTTTATCTACCAATATGTTGCAATAGACAAGACGACGCTAAACAATGTTCTTTGTGTACTTGTGTTATCCTGTCCTATCAGATGTTAGTGTGACTTTGACTGATATGTCTCTGATTGATTCCAGTGATATCCCAAGAATTCCAGACACGTCCCACCCTCCACTAGAATCTAGTAGGTATTTCCTCTGCTCTCTCTCTATCTCTCTCTCTCTCTCTCTCTCTCTCTCTCTCTCTCTCTCTCTCTCTCTCTCTCTCTCTCTCTCTCTGTCTGTCTGTCTGTCTGTCTGTCTGTCTGTCTCTCTCTCTCTCTCTCTTTGCTTTTCCTCTCTGTTTCTCAGTCTACTATCTCTCTCTTTCTTTTTGACCCTAGTTGTTAGGGGTTTAACTGGGTGAGATGTGTCTTGTCTTATTTCTGCCCTCACAGCAGGTTCCAGTTCATTCGAGTCCCAGAAGATGGAGCAGCCATCTATATCAGTCATGTCCCCCACCAGTCCCAGTACACTAAGAGACAACCCACAGCTAATGCCTGGACAGCTCACAGTGAGTACACACCAACAGACGTGTGTGTGTGTACGCACTCAAACATGGGATAATAATGCATTTGGATATGGTGTGTATGTGATAGTAATCTGGCTCATAGTGATCATTTCCATTGTGTGTGTGTTTGTGTGTGTTTTCAGGTACTGCCCGGACAACTTTCAGTAAGTCAATACCAAATGATTGTCATGTCATGTATCATGAGTGCAGACATTTGGGGTTGTCTTGTATTTGTATGTAGTCTGTAGCCTACATCATACCATTTAAGATGGGATGTTGGCTCCCAGTGATCATGTTTGGTTGTGTCGATGTGTGTCCATGTGCAGGTGAAGCTGTGGTATGATAAGGTGGGACACCAGCTAATAGTGAACGTGGTCCAGGCCACAGAGCTGCCTACACGGCCGGATGGGCGACCCAGAAACCCCTACGTCAAAATGTACTTCCTGCCGGACCGCAGGTACGTTAACATAGTATATCACTGACAGACTACCACAAAGAATGATCTGTAAACAGGAAGAAACAAACAAATATAACTTCTCTCTGTGTGTTTGTGTGTGTGTGTGTGTGTGTGTGTGTGTGTATATATGTGTGTTTGTGTGTGTATGTGTGTGCATGCGCAGTGATAAGAGCAAGCGGAGGACTAAGACAGTGAAGAAGAGCGGAGAGCCCATGTGGAACCAGACATTTGTGTACTCCCACGTCCACCGCAGAGACTTCCGCCAACACATGCTAGAGCTGACTGTGTGGGACCAGCCTCGCCTACCTGATGAGGATAGCATGTTCATGGGCGAGGTACACACAGAAGTTGATTAATTGCTTTCTTTGGCCTCGTGTTTGACTGATTGTGCTTGCTAATATTGGTTATGTTTAGATCCTGATAGAGCTCGAGACAGCCCCGTTGGATGATAAGCCTCATTGGTACAATCTGCAGACCCACGACGTGTCATCCATCCCTCTGCCCCGGCCATCCCCCTACATGCCCCGCAGACACACCCACCCCAACACACCCAGCAAGAAGCTTCAGCGTAAGTCTCAGACGGGTATATGTGCGATGTGTGTTCACAATATATTTGTTTGTATTGTACAGATGTAGGATCTGAATTTCATCACACTTTTGTTGCTGAGAATTTTCTTGCACTGCAGGAAATGCAGATGAGCTTTGTGATTTACATAAATTAACTGAAAACCAAACTAACACACGGTTATATTAACAGTATTTCTGGCCAGCTAATAGCCTAACTACCGATCAAGGTACATTATGGACAAAATGTTCAAATCCTGTTTCTGCAGGATTATTTTGCTGTGAAAAAATATGTCAAATTAAGATCCTACATACAGTACCAGTCAAAGGTTTGGACACACCTACTCATTCAAGGGTTTTTCTTTATTTTTATTATTTTCTACATTGTAGAATAATAGTGAAGACATGAAAACTATGAAATAACACATATGGAATCATGTAGTGACCAAAAAAGTGTTAACAAAGGGTAGCCACCCTTTGCCTTGATGACAGCTTTGCACACTCTTGGTATTCTCTCAACCAGCAACATGAGGTAGTCACCTGGAATGCATTTCAATTAACAGGTGTGCCTTGTTAAAAGTGAATTTGTGGAATTTCCAATCAGTTGTGTTGTGACAAGGTAGGTGTGGTATACAGAAGATAGCCCTATTTGGTAAAAGACCAAGTCCATATTATGGCAAGAACAGCTCAAATAAGCAAAGAGAAACGACAGTCCATCATTACTTTAAGACATGAAGGTCAGTCAATCCGGAAAATGTCAAGAACTTTGAAAGTTTCTTCAAGTGCAGTCGTAAAAACCATCAAGCGCTATGATGAAACTGGCTCTCATGAGGACCGCCACAGGAAAGGAAGACCCAGAGTTACCTCTGCTGCAGAGTTAACTGCACCTCAGATTGCAGCCCAAATAAATGCTTCACAGACTTCAAGTAACAGACACATCTCAACATCAACTGTTCAGAGGAGACTGCGTGAATCAGGCCTTCATGGTCGAATTGCTGCAAAGAAACCACTACAAAAGGACACCAATAAGAAGAAGAGACTTGCTTGGGCCAAGAAACACGAGCAATGGACATTAGAGCGGTGGAAATCTGTCCTTTGGTCTGATGAGTCCAAATTTGAGATTTATGTGAGGCACAGAGTAGGTGAACAGATAATCTCCGCATGTGTGGTTCCCACTGTGAAGCATTGAGGAGGAGGTGTGATGGTGTGGGGGTGCTTTGCTGGTGACACTGTCCATGATTTATTTAGAATTCAAGGCCCACTTATCCAGCATGGCTACCACAGCATTCTGCAGCGATATGCCATTCCATCAATTGTTTTTCAACAGGACAATGACCCAAAACACACCTCCAGGCTGTGTAAGGGCTATTTGACCAAAAAGGAGAGTGTTGGAGTGCTGCATCAGATGACCTGGCCTCCACAATCACCCGACCTCAACCCAATTGAGATGGTTTGGGATGAGTTGGACCGCAGAGTGAAGGAAAAGCAGCCAACAAGTGCTCAGCATATGTGGGAACTCCTTCAAGACTGTTGGAAAAGCATTCCTCATGAAGCTGGTTGAGAGAATGCCAAGAGTGTGCGAAGCGGTCATCAAGGCAAAGGGTGGCTACCTTGAATAATCTAAAATCTAAAATATATTTTGATTTGTTTAACACTTTTTTGGTTACTACATGATTCCATAGGTGTGTCCAAACTTTTGACTGGAACTGTATATAAATGTGGTTTGTGCTTGTGTGTGTATGTGTGTGTCTGTATGTCTGTCGGCATGCATGTCTATATCAATGTGGTCTGTTTACCGCATTCCTTCTGTATGTGCCTGTGTGTATTTATGTGACATCCACCATTGTGCAGGTTCTCAGCTCGTTATAGAGCCTAAGTATGATCAAATCAAATCATCAAATCAAATATATTTGTCACATGCTTCGTAAACAATAGGTGTAGAGTAACAGTGAAATGCTTACTTACGGGCCTTTCCCAACAATGCAGAGAGAAATAAAACAGTAATAATAAAAAAGAATAACACAAGGAATAAATTCACAATGAGTAATGGTAACTTGGCTATATACACAGGGTACCAGTACCGAGTCGATATGCAGGGGTACGAGGTAATTGAGGTAGATATGAAACATATAGGTAGGGATAAAATGACTAGGCAACAGGATAGATAATACAGTAGCAACATAGTATGTGATGAGTCAAAAGAGTTAGTGCAAAAAAGCTCAATACAGATTGTCCGGGTAGCTATTGGTTAATTATTTAACTAACTATTTTGCCGTCTTATGGCTTGGGGGTCGAAGCTGTTCAGGGTGCTGTTGGTTTCAGACTTGGTGCGTTGGTACCGCTTGCCATGCGGTAACCGAGAGAACAGTCTATGACTTGGGTGGCTGGAGTCTGACAATTTTTGGGGCCTTCCTCTGGCACCGCCTGGTATAAAGGTCCTGTATGGCAGGGAGCTTGGCCCCAGTGATGTCCTGGGCCGTACGCACTACCCTCTGTAGCGCCTTGCGGTCGGATGCCAAGCAGTTACCAAACCAAGCGGTGATGCAGGCAGTCAAGATGCTCTCAATGGTGCAGCTGTATAACTTTTTGAGGATCTGAGGGCCCATGCCGAATCTTTTCAGCCTCCTGAGGGGGAAGAGGCATTGTCGTACCTTCTTCGTGACTGTGTTGGTGTGTGTGGACGGTCCATGGTAATTCCTTAGTGATGTGGACACTGAGGAACTTGAAGCTCTCGACCCTGCTCCACTACAGCCCCGTCAATGTGGATGGGGCCGTGCTCGCCCTCTGTTTCCTGTAGTCCATGATCAGCTCCTTTGTCTTGCTGATGTTGAGGGAGAGGTTGTTGTCCTGGTACCACACTGCCAGGTCACTGACCTCCTCCCTATAGGCTGTCTCATAGTGATCAGGCCAACCACCGTTGTGTCGTCAGCAAACTTAATGATGGTGTTGGAGTCACGGGTGAACAGGGAGTACAGGAGGGGACTAAGCACACACCCCTGAGGGGCCCCTGTGTTGAGGGTCAACATGTCGTATGTTTTGCTGCCTACCCTCACAACCTGGGGGCGGCCTGTCAGGAAGTCCAGGATCCAGTTGCAGAAGGAGGTGTTCAGTCCCAGGGTCCTGAGCTTAGTGAAGAGCTTGGAGGGCACTATGGTGTTGAACACTGAGCTATTGTCAATGAACAGCGTTCTCACGTAGGTGTTCCTCTTGTCCTGGTGGGATAGGGCAGTGTGGAGTGCAATAGAGATTACATCATCTGTGGATCTGTTGGGTCAAGGGTGTATTTGATGAAGATGTTGATGTGAGCCATGACCAGCCTTTCAAAGCACTTCATGGCTAAAGATATGAGTGCTACAGGACGATAGTCATTTAGACAGGTTACCTTGGCATTCTTGGGCACAGGGACTATGGTGGTCTGCTTGAAACATGTAGGTATTACGGACTTGGTCAGGGAGAGGTTGAAAATGTCAGTGAAGACACTTGCCAGCTGGTCAGCGCATGCTTTGAGTACAAATCCTGGTAATCTGTCTGGCCCCGTGGCCTTTTGAATGTTAACCTGTTTAAAGGGCTTACTCATATCGGCTACGGAGAGTGAGATCACAAAGTCGTCCAGAACAGCTGGTGCTCTCATGCATCGTTCAGTGTTGCTTGCTTTGAAACGAGCATAGAATAAATGTAGCTATTCTGGTATGCTCACATCACTGGGCATCTCGCGGCTTGGATTCCCTTTATTATCTGTGAGTTTGCAAGCCCTGCCACATCCGACGAGCGTCAGAGCCGGCATAGTAGGATTCGATCTTAGTCCTGTATTGACGTTTTGACTGTTTGATGGCTCATCAGAGGTCGTAGCGGGATTTCTTATAAGCGTCCGGATTAGTGTCCCTTGAAAGCACAGCTCTAGCCTTTAGCTCAGTGCGGATGTTGCCTGTAATCCATGGCTTCTGGTTGGGATATATATGTACGGTCACTTTGGGGACGACGTCATTGATTCACTCCTCAATGTGGTAAACTCCTCAATGTTTTTGGATGAATCCCGGAACATATTCAGTCTGTGCTAGCAAAAAAAACAGCCCTGTAGCTTAGCATCCGCTTCATCGGACAACTTCCTTATTGAGCGTGTCAATAGTACTTCCTGTTTGAATTTTTGCTTATAAACAGGAATCAGGAGGATAGAGTTATGGTCAGATTTGCCAAATGGAGGGCGAGGGAGAGCTTTGTATGTGTTTCTGTGCATGGCGTAAAGGTGATCTAGAGATTCGCCTCTAGTTGCACAGGTGAAATGCTAGTAAAAATTAGGTAAGACGGATTTCAGTTGCCCTGCATTAATTAAAATCACCGGCCACTAGGAGCGCCACCTCTGGATGTGCATTTTCTTGTTTGCTTATGGCCCTATACAGGTTGTTGAGTGTGGTCTTAGTGCCAGCAACGGTTTGTGATGGTAAATAGACAGCTACGAAAAATATAGATGAAAATTATCTTGGTAAATACTGTAGTATGGTCTGCAGCTTATCTAGGTATTCTAAGTCAGGCGAGCAAAACTTTGAGACTTCCTTAACATTAGAGATCACACACCAGCTTTTGTTGTCTTTATGATGCATAAAAAAACAGCTAGATGTTTATTATGTCCTTGTTCAGCCACGACTTCAAGAAACATAGGATAGTACAGTCTCGAACGGAGCTTGTCCAGTTTGTTCTCTAGTGATTGTGTGTTTGCCAATGGAACCGAGGGTAGAGGCAATTTAATTAGGGATCCCGGGGATTAGGGCCTGGTCCGGAATGAGCAGTAAATCCACAGCTGCCGACTCGTTGAAGTAGAAATCTTCATCCCAATCGAGGTTAGTGATCACTGTTCTGATGTCCAGAATCTGTTTTCGGTCATAGGAAATTATGTCAGCAATATTTTGTACCAAAACGTTAAGATCAAAGTTTTTTTTTAAAACACACAAAATAGCAGAATTGGTCAGCAGCTCGTAAGACGGCAGCTATCCACTGCAGCACCATCTTCGAGTTGTGTCTAAAGGTGCGTGGGGGCATGGGAATGCTGTCTTACTAAGAGAGACATTCCATCGGCATTCTACAACTAAAATGTGGTTCTGTTGTGGTCAGAACACTGGACCTCATAAACCTTCACTGCTCTATTTGTGTGTGTGTGTGTGTGTGTGTGTGTGTGTGTGTGTGTGTGTGTGTGTGTGTGTGTGTGTGTGTGTGTGTGTGTGTGTGTGTGTGTGTGTGTGTGTGTGTGTGTGTGTGTGTGTGTGTGTGTGTGTGTGTGTGTGTGTGTGTGTGTGTGTGTGTGTGTGTGTGTGTGTGGGTGGGTGTGCATGCGTGCGAGTGTGCATGCGTGTGGGGGCGTATGTGTGTGTTTGAAAGAGAGAGAGAGGAAAAAGAGAGAGTGAGAGAGGAAGAGAGAAAGAAGTTGATACAGCCACTAACCTCTCATTATTTTTCTTGGTAAAAAAAGAAATTGTAGATTAAAGGCACCCACTGTCAGCTTTAATGAATTATTCCTCTAGAAATGACAAAAAACTCACATTGACCTTCAGAAAATAGTTAATTGCAGTGTGATTGCAGTGTGATTTTTCACTGTTTCTACATCAGGCAGTTCATTATGTTTTTATATAAACTGAACATTCAAAGCTCACAGCAGGAGGTTGTTTGGTAAAGCAGGAACAGTCGGTATCCTTGGGTTCAACTGGCATGAGTAGTTTGTATTAGTATTGTCATACTAGAGCTGAAGGATACAAATGTGCCAGCTTGGGGCAATATAGTATGTCGTATGTATGTTTGCTTTTATGAACACTGCTTCTCTTTCCCTGCGGGTGTCTGTGTAGCGGCCGAAAGAGGCTCACGGGAGAGAGAGAGGCAGCAGAGGGATCCCCACGCCACCACTCTGGAGGTGCCGGAGCAGCAGAGGACACCCCAGCATCGCTCTCGATCTGTCTCCCCTCACAGAGAGGAACAGGGCAGGGGCCGATCACGACCCACCAACGTCCCCACCCAGAGGTGAGGGAGAGGAAAGGAGAGGGGGAGAAGGGGTGTTGATGAAGAGAGAGGGGGAGGAGAGAACTTCAGGGACATGTTTGTGTTTCGGCCTTTGTGACCCAGAACAAGTAGTGCTGCCAATAATTCTCTTACTGTCACTGCCAACACAGCCAGCACATACAGTGTTACCACAGCTAAAAGCCTTGTTCTCTCTTTCTCCCCACCCCCCACCCCTTCTCTCTTTCACACTCTCTCTCATCTTTCTCACGCCTCCTCTGTGTCAGGAGTTTGGATGATGAGGTCCACCATAGTAGGAGGTCTAGTTCTCCCACCCGCTACTACGACTCTGCCAGAGGACACTACCAGGAGCAGGACTATGTAGATGACAGGTGTGTGTGGGTGTGTGTGGGTGTGTGTGTGTGTGTGTGTGTATGTGTGTGTGTGTGTGTGTGTGTGTGTGTGTGTGTGTGTGTGTGTGTGTGTGTGTGTGTGTGTGTGTGTGTGCGTGTGTGCGTGTGTGCGTGCGTGCGTGCGTGCGTGCAATCGGGTGGCCCTGGATTATTTGTCCCTGTCGTGTTTTCCAGTTCGAAAAGTACCTTTAGTTGTATTTCTTCCTTTTTCTTCTGCTCTCTTCCTTTCTGTGATTCAGCACAATGAATAGTCGGGATTATGTTTGGATATGGCTGCTCACTTGTTGGTTTGGTCTCAGTTGTTTGTTGATTCAGACTCTCAGAACAATGAAGTTATAGCCATGAGACAAAAGTTTATTAAGAGTTATAAGGCGTCGTAGCATCTCTTGCTGTCATGTTTGTACCTGTCGGAGTAGGTAGAAGTTGCCAATAACCACTGATACATGGTCAGATTTGTTCATCCCCTGTAATGGTTAGGGTTAGGAAATGGGATAGAGTCATCTGATCCTAGATCTGTGGTTAGGGGCAACTTCTACCTGTCCCATTGTTCTCCGCTGGCTCAGCTTTGTATCTATGTTCTTTCCCTGTCCTCCGGCTTCCATTGTTTATTTCCTCATGTGTAATCCATCCCCATGGTAACCACAGTGAGGTCATCTTGATCCACCAATCAAATCGGGGCAAAAGTGCAGAGTGCCTACACACTAAAAGGTAAACAGGAGTCAGGACATTTATTATTATTAGGTATGATCATAATCCTCATTCTCACCATCCTTATAAACCTTTATCTGAAGCACATCATGGTTGAGGTTGGTTCTCTTTTTCTTTTAGCCTTTTCTATACGTTGATTTTGGAGCCGCATATAGATGTGTAGAGTTCTTCGATGACTTCACTCTTGATCTGCTATATGCATCTTATTCTGTCATAATGTATGTGAGAGAGTAATGGACATGCAGTGTGTCCATCCTATCCCATGTGACAGTGACACAACACACATCCTCTGTAGCTCAATTGGTAGAGCATGGCGCTTGTAATGCCAGGGTAGTGGGTTCGATCCCCGGGACCACCCATACGTAAAAATGAATGCGCACATGACTGTAAGTTGTTTTGGATAAAAGCGACTGCTAAATGGCATATAATTATTATATTATTAACACTGGGACTGTTCACTACTGACCGCACATAGCCTCTGCTGATCCTGGCCAATGCCTGAGGGGCAGCTAGTTATTCAGAGTTAGCGTCATGTAGCTATAGTGATCCATTCATGGTTGTAATAATGTCCCTCAAACATTAGAGGGCACTTTTTGACGCTAGTTCAGTGCATTGCTAGATCCATTATATTGGACAAAAGTGCAATACTGTCTAAGTGAGCCCACCCACAGAGGTAGGTGGCAAAGCCTGGCTGGTACATGGCTGGTACATGGGCTGGAAGAGACTGGCAAAGGCTGGCATACATGCTTCCACGCATCTGGCATGCTGCTCTCCTGTCTTTCTTTAGCAGTAGTTTGGGAATTCTATTTCCATTATTTTAATCCATCTTCCTCCTTCCCCGTTTTCTATCTCTGTCTCCTGCATGCACACACACGTCACACCACTCACCTCAGGAGCTCTTCTAGACACAGTAACACACTTTCCACTAAGATGCCCCTCTTAGTCAACGGCATCCACAAGGACATTTACAGGTACGTGGAAGAAGAGAGAGGCTGTGTTGGAAAGTTGCTCCCCTCCAAACTTTGTACCCCCGCCTCTCCCCACCGTACACACACAATTATCTTGTAAGTTAGTGTTGTTGTGGTATGTTATACATTTGTAGTTTTATGTTCAGGAGGTAATATCACTTGAGTTGACTTCATATAGCTACATCATATGCACCAGACCAATGTTGCAGTACAGATACTGTATCCTGGTCTTACTGATCTTGGTCTTACTGATATCCTTGGATGAATTCCATCAATTCACATGGAGCAGGTATTGAAAGTAGTCCAATTTGCACTTCAGAAACAGTTGTTGTTATCTTGCCCATGGGAGTATTGTCCACAGTTGTAGGCTACCACACACATCATTACCTGCTCTTGGCCTCTGTTTGTTTTATGTTAAGTAGATTTTTGTTGCCTTTTTATTGCATGCTTTCATTTTGATTTTTTTGTCTTGAGTGAAGTTCCACGCTGCCTGCATGTCTAAAGACTAGCTCAATGGTGCGCTCCAGTGTTGTCACAGCAACGCACCGCTCTTTCACACAACGAGTTCTCAGGTTTACAGACGAGATCACCATTAGGTAAGACACACACAGACACACACACACACACACACAGACACACACACACAGACCTTTAGCCCTCCATGACCTCCTCATACCATGGTCAAGGACTCTTCTGAGAACCGGGGAACAGGTCTCCCTGACAACCTGACTACCTCACTATCTGACAACATATTGCATTGCCGTGATTGTAATCAATCACCTAATCACTCAAAACCAGGTTCAGACTAGCATGTCCTTTATGATTTGGGTATCTAACATTTCTTTCTTTTCCATTTTTCTCTTCTTTTTTCTGCATCTCCTCCTGTCCTGTTTTCTCCTCTCCTGCATTGGATGGCATGTTATTGGGCTAGTGATCTACAGCCTTCTCTGGACAGGGTTAAGACTTGGAGCGCTAGCACCAACTGTCTGAACCCAGAAAGGAACCACAGTGTTCCTTCACCAGAGCCCCAAAGGTACCAGCCCACTGACCTGTACCCTGCACCCCACCTTCTACACTTTACCACCTATTTTAGTGTGTGTGTGTGTGTGTGTGTGTGTGTGTGTGTGTGTGTGTGTGTGTGTGTGTGTGTGTGTGTGTGTGTGTGTGTGTGTGTGTGTGTGTGTGTGTGTGTGTGTGTGTGTGCAAAAGCTCTTATGGCTTGTGCAAAAGTAATGGTATAGTGCAGTGTCTGAAAGAATCCATTCTCTTTGTAGAGTCTCATGGAGTGAGTGTTTGTACATAGCTACTTTGTAAGATGCAATAAAGGGAGGGTCCCTTTTTTGTGGTAACAGCCTTAAACTGAGACTCAGAGCTATGATAGACCCATGAACTTGATAAAGCCCCTATGAGCTATGAGAGTGCAGGTGATCCATAATGCATGTGTTTCTCTGTGTGTACACCGGGGGCGCTGTGGGTTTTAGCTGTTCCCAGTCTCTGCCCCGCAGACGCCCCGGCAGCCCCAGGATTCTAATCCAACACGCCTCCCCAGAAGACGACAGGTACCCCCTTCCCATCCGGCCCCATCCCCCCTGTTAGCAGCTGGCCCCAACTCTAACCCCCACACCTGTACTAAACCCCAATGCACACTAATAGCTAGCTAACCTCTAACCATAAACATATCCCAATCAATAATTTTGCTCTATGGTACTATATTTCAGACTATTTAGAATCACTGTGACTTGTTGTTTTGATTCTAGAATTTAACAGTCTGTAGGTGTTCTAAAATGTTGTAGCCTGTAGTTTGTGTTCTACAATCCAGTTTGTGTTCTAGCATTCTGCCGTGTAAACTTTGTGTTCTAAAATCCTTGCAGCCTCTATCTTCTCGTGAAGAATGGCTGTGCTGTTTTGCTTTGTAGTTGTAGTCTATGAAACTGAGGGATTTCAGAAGCTTTTGTCTGTCTATTGCATGCCAACTGAGCTTTTATCATTATCACTAATGTCTGTCTTTCATATTCATAACAAAATACACATAATTCAGGATTCAAAGTTGAGTTTATATCTATGTAAGTCATAAGTGGTGTGTGTGTGTCTCTGTGTATGTGTGTCTGTGTTTCTTATCATGCCATCTCATCACCCTCATGTTTGTGGTGTGTATGAAGCAGATGGATGATGGAGCATCTAGTTCCTAGACAAGAGACAGTAAACCACCTCAGTGCAAAGAAGAGGTACACACACACACACACACACACACAGTACTTGTTCAATGAATGCATGAGTGTGTGATGCTTCTTCGTAATCATTGTTCCATATTCAATTTTTGTGTATTGACAACACAGAGACAGCTACATCAAATCTATATCTCAACTGGCTTGTCTTCTGTAGAGCATAAGGCTATTAGATTCATTACGAATAGAGAATCAGACTTCTCTCACTTACCCCAGCTGTTTACCCCTCTACCATACTCCATTAATTTATTCATCCATCCATCCGATTCTTTCTGTTTTCCACTCATCCCCCAATTTCCCAGGCAAACTCGGACCCTGGACTCATCCACCTGTCACACTCTGGGCAAGAAGCTCCCTGACAGAGACAGGTAAGGTGGCCAACCATAACATATACCCAGAGTTTTTTGTTTCAACATCATCACCTCCGGCCCAATCCTCAAACTTTCATAAAATCTCCCATTCACATCAGTACAGGATTAAAGTGAAAGTTTGAGTCGAGCATGTGAATCTCACTGTGAGTTTCATCCTGCCATCATAGTCTGTCCCCTCACATGAGTTCCCAGAGTAGGATGAAGTTCCCCTTAGACATGATCTAACATCAGTTTTCCCCCATAATAATTGAGGTTGGGATTTGTTTGTGGGTAAATTGATCCTAGATCTGTACCCATGGGTGACTTTTACCTAGAGGGGGGGGGGTCTACCTCCTTTCTGTTCACTAGTTCATCCACAGTACCACTATTTAGACTTTGATTTGGGAATTAACTGTTACTTTTAAGTCACCTACACCTGTACTGTACTGGGCTGCAGTGTTTAGCATCAGGGGTTGGAACCAAAAAAAATTCTCCAATCGTTTAGTTCAGAACATTTTTTTTTTCTTTTTCGTTCCGTTCCACTGTTCCGACCAGCAAAATAAAGTCCTGAACCGGTTCGAACAAAAAAAAAGTAACAATTTATTTAGTTCCTTTCTGTTCCTTTTTAAACCTCTGAAATATTTATATATTTTGTACATTTAGCTCAAAATTAAATTACTTCACCAATGGATAGAGCAGCTTGCTATGGAGCGGGCAAGATATGTACATGCATTGGACAGACAAATGTAGCGTAGGGTGTTACATGTGACTGAAATTTTGCGGGTCAGGATAATGCTGGGCATGAAGCGCTGGGCATCTTCTTTTTATGACATGCATTATCTGAATTAGGCTCACAGATTTATACCTACGGAGGAGCGGCTTCTATGAAGGAACTTTAAATGTCTTTGAACTTCAAAGAGTTGGCTTAACTAATGTTGGCCCAGAGCTAGCCCTTGATCATGACTCTCAGTTCCATTACATTACACTTAATGGCGTCTAGAGTTTTCAAAAGCTAGACCAGAGCTAGCTAACAAGCTAGCTAGATAACAAGCTTGTGTGTGCAGAGCGGCACCAGTTATTCAAATAAAAACATGTCTTTTAGTTAATATATCCAATGTGAAACGTGATAACTATAGTATCCTTAACTACCATTGAAAAAGTGAATCTATTGTTCTGTAATTAAAAATCTCTCTCCCTAATTTCTGAATCACGCCTTTAACGCCAGTAGCTACAGTAGACTATGCATGCTTCGGAGGGAGGGGCAGGTAGCCTAAACTCGTACAGGCAAAGATTTTCAGCTGGCAGGCAGGCAGACACTGGAATAAGTTTATGAGTGACAATGAAGGCTTTGCATAGGTCCTTTGTTGCGTCTTTTGAGGGACTGGAAAAAAAATCACGGAACGTAAAATAACGTTATTAACCGGTTCCCATGCTTTTAAAATAACGGTTCTATTCCGGAACAGTATAGATCACTTTTGTTGTTCTTTTCTGGTTTTCGGTTCTCTTCCCTGAACCAGTTCCAACCCCTGGTTAGCATGGTGATGCTAACATTAGCATGATAGTATTGGTTAGGATTCATTTATATGTTTTCACATGGAGGCAAGTTGAGCTTGCGTTTGCAATGGACAGTTCAGGACCAATGTGTGATCGTCCCTAATATGGGATCTGGTAGTTTGACCTGCACATTTCAGATTTCTTTTTCTGAGATGTCTCTCACACTGTCTAGACTGATTTCAACATGTTTGACAACGTTTTTATTTGTATTTTTTTATATATATTTTCCTTTCATTTTATTTCCTTTTTCCATGCTGCTTTGCGCTGTGCGACGTTGTGCACACGGTGTGTATGGTGTGTGTGTGGGGGGCCCCCAGAATAAAGCCCACCTCCATCCTGAAGGCATCCCGAGGACGGCCCCCTCCCCTGCGGCCGCTCGGTAAGGGGAACCTCCGGGGGTTGGCCCCGGGCTCACCCCAAACAAACAGGTGCTGACCTCTGACCCCTCACCTCTGACCCCCTGGAGGAGTGGTCTGAGAGAGCTGCTACCTTCCTCCTCTGTGATCCCACTGCCTTTAATGCAGACACACGATTTATTTGACATTGTACCCCAGCCCTGGGCCAGTGTGTGGTGGGTTGTGGTGGATTGTGTGTGTAAGTGTATGTGTTGTGTGTGTTATACAACGAGTGGGCCTAATCCTGAATGCTTGGTGTCTATTCCACAAGTTACCACCTGCTAAATCTATGACATTAAAATGCCTATTTACTCTGTTCCATCCGACTGCGCAATCCAGTCTCATCAGCCCAGCCATGCAATTTATAAACTTTCCACTATAAAATGCATCTAGACATTATCTCACATTTCTTTTAGACTAACATTTAGTTTTCTACAGCTGAGATTTGTATAAACCTTGCTGTCTGTCTCTCCCACATTTGCAACATTGTTTCAATATTCAAAGGGTAACTCCAGCTGTCGTATAGTAATGAACGAGTCGGGAGTCAGGTCGAGACAGACAGGCAGGCAGCTTTTCTCAGCCAGTCGAAATCATGAATCAGCATCATTTTTATGGATATATACAAATAAATATAAATTGAAAACAGGTAAAAACAAAACGAAGTGCAGATAGTTTGCAGTCTTTCCAGCTTCAGTTTGAAGTGATTGTGTTAGCTGTGTTGTTGGCTAGCTCCTCTGAACAACAGTGTCCTGATGAGAGAGCACATTTTCTATGCCAGGTGAAATCGCGCCTCATTAGCTCATTGTTATGGATGTATCCAAATAAATGTCACTTGAAAATAGCTTAAACAAATGCAAATGCAGCTGCTTTGTTGTCCTGGCTGCACTGTTTGACGTGACTGTAAGTTAGCTGTAGTTGACTAGCTAGCAAGCAAGGGATAAGAACATTGCCAGCCAGTATGGTAATAGAACATATAGAACGAATGACTGGGTCGCGTCCATAGATACAGAACAAAAAGACTGAACGATTGGGTCGCGTCTCTGGCAACCGAACCGATAGAACGAACGACCAGCCGGCGTGGGTAGCAACCCTAGATTTGTGTCGGGACTATATCATGTGGAAGGATGAAATAGTATGAATAAATTCATCAAAATAAAGTTTTTAATGAAAATATGTAAATAATTATTTGAATATGTTGGTAACCCGTTATATAAAAGTGATAATGCCCTTGAAGCCGGTGTTTGGAGGATATATTGGCACGGTTTGCTGGCCTCGACGAACAACACCTGTGCCAATATATCCTCCAAACACCGGCTTCTCGGGCATTATCACTTAAATGCTCACTAATGCTAATTGTCTATGTTTTTCACGGTCTCAATGTATCTAGCTCTTTTTGCTACAGGACCTCACACCAGCCACAATGGAATGAGCTGCATATTGAGTGTAGTACACTTCCCCTCACTGTGTTACCAAGCTTTACTCGTGTTTACTTCTTAGTTCGTACTGTGAGCTCCAAAAGTATTTGGACAGTGACAAATGTTTTGTTGTTTTGGCTCTGTACTCCAGCACTTTGGATTTGAAATGAGACAATGACTATGAGGTTAAAGTGCACTGTCAGCTTCAATTTGAGGGTATTTTCATCCATTTCGGGTGAACCGTTTAGAAATCACAGCACTTTTTGTACATAGTCCCCCATTTTAGGGGACCAAAAGTATTGGGAGAAATTCACTTATATGTGTATTAAAGTAGTAAAAAGTTAAGTATTTGGTCCCATATTCATAGTATGCAATAACTACATCAAGCTTGTGACTTGCTTCCATTTGCTGTTTATTTTGGTTGCGTTTCAGTTTATTTTGTGCCCAATAGAAATTAATGGTAAATAATGTATTGTGTCATTTGTATTGTATTGTAAATAAGAATATAATATATTTCTAAACACTTCTACATTAATGTGGATGCGACCATGATTATGGATAATCCTGAATGAATCGTGAATAATGAGTGAGAAAGTTACAGACGCACAAATATCATACCCTCAAGACATGCTAGCCCCCCCTGTTATTGTAATGTTGAGAGGTTAGCATGTCTTGGGGGTATGATATTTGTGCGTCTGTAACTTTCTCACTCATTATTCATGATTCATTCAGGATTATCCGTAATCCATAATCTTGGAGTCACAAGCTTGATGTAGTCATTGTGTACTATGAATATGGGACCAAATACTTAACTTTTTACTACTTGAATACACATATAAGTGAATTTGTCCCAATACTTTTGGTCCCCTAAAATGTGGGGACTATGCACAAAAAGTGCTGTAATTTCTAAACGGTTCACCCGATATGGATTAAAATACCCTCAAATTAAAGCTGACAGTGCACTTTAACCTCATAGTCATTGTATCATTTCATATCCAAAGTGCTGGAGTACAGAGCCGAGAAAGAAAAATATATAGGTCACTGTCCCAATACTTTTGGAGCTCACTGTATGTGTAAAAACTCTGTGTCCAACAGTGAAACTAATAGTTGGTGTTGCAGGATTTCCATGAAGAGATACATCCCCTTGTTGTATCTCTCTCTCATTCTCTCATCCTCTCTCTTTCCATCTCTCTCTCTCAGGATCCCCCTCCAAGGTGGTGCGTCTCTGTCCTCCTCCGTGACGTCCTCGTCAGCAGCTCGCAGGGTCAGACACCTCCCACAGGTCCCCGACAAGAGTAGCAGCCCCGTAGAGCAAGGTGTGTGTGGCTTTCTAGACTTGATTTTGTCTGTAAACCTGAATGAGTGAGAGATATGTGTGTGTGCTTATTTTTGCTCATTCCTCCCTGTGTGTGTGTGTGTGTGTGTGTATGTGTGTGTGTGTGTGTGTGTGTGTGTGTGTGTGTGTGTCTAGCTCTAGCAGCAGAGGAGCGTGTTCGTCAGCTCCAGATGAAGGTGCAGCAGAGGGACTCCTACAGGAGTTCTGCTGCTCCCTCCACTTCCAGCAGGGACCTGGAGAGGGCGCTTAAGAGCAAACGCGAGGTCAGTCACCTTTCACTAGAGGTCAGCCACTAACCCTAACCCTCTGTCTGTCTCCCTTTCCATCTCTCTCTGTCCCTCTCTCTCTCGCTCCCCATATCTCTGTCCTTCCCTCCATCTCTCTCTGTCCCTCTCTCTCTCACTCCCCATATCTCTGTCCCTCTCTCTCTCTCGCTCCCTGTATCTCTGTCCCTCTCACCATCTCTCTCTATCCCTCTCTCTCTCTCTCTCTCTCGCTCCCCATGTCTCTGTCCTTCTCTCTCTCTCTCTCTCGCTCCCCATATCCCTGTCCCTCCTTCCATCTCTCTCTCACCCCTCACTTGTCTATCCCCCCTCTCAATTCAAAACAATTCAATTAAGTTTATTGGCATTAATAAATACATGTGTATATATCGTCTCATCCTATCTCTAGCTGTATAAGGACCAGAGGAGAACCAGCTGTGAGAACGTATCCCGCAAGTCTTCAGACAGTGATGTCAGTGACGTGTCAGCCATCTCTCGCACCAGCAGTGCCTCCCGCATCAGTAGTACCAGCTACATGTCCATCCAGTCAGAGAGACCCCGGGGACGCTTCAAGTAAATAGAACCACACACACACGCAAACACACACACACACAAACACACACTCCTGTGTGTTGCAGTAATGTCTGCAACATATATTTGTCTGTATGTGTGTGTAGCAATGCGATCCATGCGTCAGGCCGCAGCATGTTGAAGAGCACCAGCGTGAGCGGTGAGATCTATGGCATTGAGCGCACGGACGGCAGCCAATCAGATACAGCATTGGGCGGGGGCAAGAAGCGACGCTCCAGCCTCAGCCAACGCGTGGTGGCCATCGTGGGCCTGCCCTCCAGACGCAGCTGCAGCACCTCACAGCTCACCTCCCAGAAAGGTAACACAGACAGACCATACAAACAAGACTCTCCCATACACAAGCCCTGGATCCAGCACCCATCTGACCACCTGTTGGTATTGTTCATGCATTGTTGTGTGTTTGCTGTGTGTGTGCAATAAGAAGCAGTGGGGGTGGATACTAAGAAGAAGGGCAAGAAAAAGAACAAAATCCAGATCCAGAGGAGTACAGAGGTGGGTATGGCTGTAGATTACCCCCGCTCTGCCATGAACCGCCAGACCAGCAGAGACTCCACCAACGGCAGCATGAACAGCTACAGCTCTGAGGGGAAGTCAGTATCTCTAGCCTCACTCTGTCTCTTTGACTATAGTGGTAGTGTCATTCTCAATGCTTATCCATTGTAACGTTATTCAGTAGTCTAACCCCAGTATGTGTGTGTCTGTCTGTGTGTGTGTGTGTGTGTGTGTGTGTGTGTGTGTATTCCAGTCTAATCTTCTCGGGGATGAGGCTGGGGGCTGACAGTCAGTTCAGTGACTTCCTGGATGGCCTTGGCCCGGCCCAACTGGTGGGCCGGCAAACATTAGCCACACCTGCCATGGGTGAGTGACACAAAGGACTTGTGTAACCTGACATAAGATACTACATACAGTATGATACATTCATTGAACTGGATAAGATATACTGTGTGTGTTTTACAGGAGATGTTCAAATCGGAATGATGGATAAAAAAGGCCAGCTGGAGGTAGAGGTGATCAGGGCACGTGGCCTTAACCCCAAACCAGGGTCCAAATCACTCCCAGGTACCACATACACCCACCCACCCACCCACCCACCCACATACAGATAAGTGTGTTTGTTCTCCATTCCCTCATTCCTTTCTCCCCCCCCCTCTCTCTCGCTGCAGCTCCCTATGTCAAGGTGTACCTGTTGGACAACGGAGCCTGTAAAGCCAAAAAGAAAACCAAGATTGCACGTAAAACCCTGGAGCCACTTTATCAGCAGGCCCTGCTGTTTGAGGAGAGCCCACAGGGGAAGGTCCTCCAGGTAATAACACCGGGGAGCTGTACTGTGTGTTATGTGTTTGTTTGTGTTTGTGCGTGTGCGTGCATGCTTCCTTGGCCTAACATATCTCTCTCCCCTTCCACAGGTAATAGTCTGGGGCGACTACGGGCGACTGGACCACAAATGCTTCATGGGAGTTGCACAGATCCTATTGGAGGAGCTGGATCTCTCTAGCACAGTGATTGGCTGGTACAAACTGTTTCCCCCGTCCTCATTGGTGGACCCTACATTAGCCTCGCTCACGCGGCGGGCGTCCCAGACATCCCTGGACAGCTCAGGACCAGCTAGTATGCGCTCTTAGTGACCGCAACGTAACCACAACCCCAAATGGACCACAACCAATGGACCACAAATGACCAGAGTGCATGACAACATACCTAGGGCCAATTGCCCTTAGGGCAAAAGAGCAAATCAGACAGAGAGAAATAGAGATAGAGAGAGAGAGAGAGAGAGAGAGAGAGAGAGAGAGAGAGAGAGAAAGGAAGGGAGATAGAGAACTAGCCAATCAGAGCTTAGCTGGATTCTGACAATCACTTGCCATGCCTCCCTCCCTTCCCTCACGCCTTTCTCTGGGCTGCTGGGGCCTTGCTCCTGAGTCTCACCTCTTGTATTCCTCATTCCTCCTTTTTATGTATCCATCCCCCTCCTCTCTCTCTGACATCTCCTTTCTTTTTCCCCTCTTTGTCCATTCCTCCTCTCTCTCTGTTGAGTGTGTTATGGCACGTGCTCCTGAGATAGAAGGGACTCATGCAGCCCACTCTGTTAGGTGGCAAAAGGGACGTCAGCCCAGGCTTGGTGAAGCCAATCAGTGAAGAGGTTATTGTGAGGCCATAAAGGGTGTGCAGGAGACAAAGAGAAAATATTGATGATGCCCTGCCGACAGTTGCCCATCAAAATGTGTTGCAGCATTGATGCCGTCATGGCGTCACTATGGGTATCTGTGAGGGTTGGCATGATTGCACAACCTGTTAGTGGAGGGAGTCTGCACAGGTGGAAAACACACTTGTTCTAAGATCAACGCAAGCACAAAAGCTTGATTATTTTTCAGACAACGATTGATTGCAAAAGAGAAAGAAAAACAGAGGCCAAATGATGGTTAGATATATTTTATTCCATATTCTATTTGCCTAGAGTTGAGAAAGGTACCATGTGGTGCAGACTCCCTGTGTGTGTATTTGGTTTCGAGTGACGGTGGTCTGCAGACCTGCAGAGGTCTTGTCATACCCCCCTCTAGTCCCGCCCCTGCGAGCGTGGCAGGCACAGCATGACTCGGGACCCCGGCCCAAGCTGCATGCACATTTTTTTGTAAAACAAAAGCCAGACGAATTACTTTTAAAAAAGAGACTAAATGTGTGTTAGTTCCACATATTTTAGGCCAACTTGTATGTTGCATGTACTTGTACAGTTTGCTCGTACTGAATATGAATACAAACAGAAAAGCCAAGCCATCCGCCTTCCAAGGGCGGACACGGGGGAATAAGCTCCGCCCAGGCCACACCTCCAACTCTGGGTACGAATTCCCATATTAGGAAGTCTCCAAAAGCCTTTTTTATTTTCTTGTGTTCCTTTTGAACCCTTTGGAGAGCAGTGCTGTATCGTAGTACTGAGCAAACTGGAGACCCCTGACTATCTGAGGATCTAGGTGCTTTAACTGTAGTCTATGACAGTGGGGCTGGAAACAGAGGTAGAGAATGTGTGTATAAAAACAGAGCTTAATGTATATGAAGTATAATTATGACTTGACAGAAATTATAAAGATATATGATTATCAAATTAGTGCATTTGACTACACACATTACTTAAGCGCACACACACATTGTAAATATGAGTCATCGGGAGAAGTTTGACAATATTTACACACACACAAAACGATCCAAACATTCCTGGTCCTATGGAAACAGATCAGAGCCCCATGCCCTGTGCTGTGAGAGCCGCTGAGCGGTGCCCAACCACAAGGGGGAGCCAACAGACCTTTCAGATTCTCGTAATAGCAGCCAACACCAACGTGACTATTTGCAACACACACCATCTTGTTTCTTTAATTGCAAAACTTTAAACCCACTATTTTCTCATGGTTTGGACTGAATTTAAAAGCCAATGAAAATCTTATTTGCTGACGTTTCAGTTTAACCCCTTGCGGTGCGGCCCACTGCCCTTTCCTTTGTCGGTATTACTCCATGATACTGATTGTTTACAGTCCATAGGTATCCACTCAAAACACGATATCTAGGAAAGAAGTATTCACTGCAACATTTCTTGTTTGTATAACAGATGTGGCTCTACTGATGTGTATGTTTTATATTCAAGAGTTCATTTTTATTATTTACAAATAAAAGACTGTGTGGAAGAAAATGGTGGGCAAATCGACTCAAGTTATTGTCAATAAACAGGTATACGATGTTGAAAATGACTAACTTAGCTACTGCAAAATGGCTGCTGTTCAGTACAAAGGAGCCATAAGACAGGCCGTGTTTTTAGGCTCCAACATATTAAGCAATTGAACAACTTTCCCTTACCTAAACCCTAACCATAACCCTTAACAAAGGTAGGTGCTGCACATCAGTGGTGGGCTGATGTGGGTTGGCCCCCTTACAATGGCAATATAAAGTGCTACTACAGACTTTGTTCAGCATCATTCTCTATCAACTGTTGTTATCCTTCATAACAATATAATTTATGCATGCCATAACTGCTTTAGGAAAGATAATTGATTCACATACCTGAGCTGTTGGAATAATCTTCAGTCTAAGAATACACCTTGAAATGTGTAGATTTTCACTGGTATTAACAATAATAAACCCTTTCCAATACTCCGTTTTAGTGGTAGCACTAGACACTGTCTTAGGCCTACCTACATCATGACTGCATTCTTGCATGACATACATATTTTCAAATACTATGGAGCAGCACAGGGCACATGCGTGCAATGTGCACATAAGTTGTAGCCTGTAATGTAAACTACAACCAATATGTGTAGGGTGTTTGCAAACTACCATATAGAACATACATTAAATTCTGAATGTGAACGTAACGGACATTACGAAGCACACAGTGAAGGCATATTCTGTGAAAAAATGTGCCTATGCATTCACATGTAGGCCTATCGACCGCAAAGACTGGTCATATTTATACCTAGGCCTATTGGTCTACATTTGGTTAGCCTACAAACAAATCGTTTTTTTTTTAGATCGATGCACATAGGCCTATGTGTTGCCAAGAGGCAGAGCATAATAGTTTTGGCGAAATTTTGACGTTTGGTGCGCCAGATGAAATGGTTAAGTACAACAACAAAAAAGTACGCTGTCCATGGTTCTGAAATGAACTGTTGTGTAGGCTAATGCAACAATTAGACTTAGTACTAACTACCCACTCTCCGTAAATTGGTGTAGGAAATCATCCTGCAATAACTTATTTATCTGTCATATCACTTTTTGATTGACTTGAAGTTTCTCTTTCTTGGCAGTTTACATTTTTCCTCTACCAGATTTAATCTTTTTCTTTAGCTTTCTTTATCTTTTTTTCGCTTTTGTAAATGTTTTCGTTGAACTGTGCTCATTTAGGCCTATGGATATTGCTGTGCGTGCTCTCTGACCTTTTGCGTGCTACGTAAATTGTTTGTATAGACAACGTGCACATGCACCTGCACATCACCCAAACAGATATCATGGGTAGTGGGCGGGCGGCTGTAACTATAGAACGGATATTAAGGATCATGTCAGAACGAATGCTATTTTTCGTCGGTGCTAATCATTTGAACCGCGCGGAGTTAAACTCACAGGCAGTCCATTAGATCATTAAAATAGGCTGGTGTAACACCCGCCGAGTCATTACTACACTATTCCCCGGTCAGAGACTTCCAGCCGCCCTAAGCACAGTTTAATCAAATTAGATAGCGGGCTATGTCTTTGGGGTTTCTTCTATTGATATTCATTAAAAATACATGATTTATCACTAAGTTCTCTGAGGTATGTCCCATTCATCCGTCTGAGGGTAATAAACGCCACGTAGACTATAAGAGGACAAACAGTTGGAATTCATTTACTTTGAGAGGGAGAGACAATCCACAGTTCTACTGTCTGGCGACATGCGTAGCCTATTTTGAGGACAGATTGTCAATAGAAAAATAATTGAGCATAATAATAATAATAATAATAATAATAATAATAATAATAATAATAGTCTAATAATACTAAGAATATATACATGGAAATATAAATAGGCCTAGTTAAATACATCACGATCATGTAATAGAGCAGACTAATAAATTGCACCCGCATGATCAGCCCTTTTGTGTGTCGCGCTCCACATAGCAAAACCGAATGTCTTTATAGCTACAACACAACATAGGAGGTTTTGTTTCCGAGAATGTGAGTTTTATCAGTTTGTCAAAGAATTTTCAAAGATGGTTATCATGTCTTTCAAAAACCGTGGCTTAACTATTTATCGGTCTGACCTTTCAGCTCTAGCGAAAAAAAAAATGAAAAACTGAACAATTCCGTAAATAAAACTGCGGATTATATGAGGATTTCCCCCCAAATCAATTAATTAATTGACTTTCAATTCACTACTCCTTTTTTCAGGAATACAAATGGCATTGACCTCAATCCTGCCGCACTGCATCAATTCAATTGTAATTTATTCGGCAAAATATTGTAAGCTGTAGGCTTAGCCTACTTCAAACATTATCTTTTCCAACTAGGCCTAATGTTTAAAATAGTAGTTGAAACAGGTGATGCAACATGTAGGCCTATAGATATTTTCATTAACCTTTTCTCAGATTCTTGGCAAGCCAATATTTGAAGTTGCCTTGTTCGTTGTTCTGTTACATTAGCCTGCTTAACCTTGTTTAGAAATAATCTTACTCCCATGATTATACATTCTATTTTAATCGATGAATTTTTTTCCTGTAGATGGAGTAGACCTAGGCTAAAGAGGAGTTGAACATCGACATTGGAATTTCGATAGATATCAAATTTCTTCCAGAAAATAACTCTAACCCTACTCGGATATAGGCCTACTAATGTTCAAAGCCTTCATAGTGCAAGTCTCATACGGAGAGTAAACGAGGAAAATGCCTATAGTGTACGATACTGTCATATGCTGGCAATTACAAATTGGAGCTCAAGGACTGGACTGACCAAGCATCTGTGATTTACTGATTGCTGACGCTAGAGGGCGTCTGAGTCCATGATTGTGGAAGTCATGCCAATGCCATGGCCTCCTCTAAGTGCGTCAAAACCGAAAAATAGCATAGTCTGTATGTAGACAGGTTTCAAGGAGGTAATACGTTATGCCTACCAT